GAATCAGGCCTTTTCATATATTCTAAAGCCAAAAGGGACCACTGTGACATCTATTCGGGCCTCCTGCAAAGTCCAGGCCATAGGATTTACCTGAAATAATTCCTTTTTGAACTACAGCCTATCTTTTAGAAAAGCATCCAATCTTGATTGCCAGTGATGGAGAGTCCACCACAATCTTTGGTGAGTTGTTCCAAAAATGTATTCCTTATTTCCAATCTGAATTTGTCTAGCATCAACTTTCAGCCATTGGATTTTGTTTTATATTTGTCTGCTAGATTAAAGAGCCAATTATCAAATTTCTGTTCCCCATAATGTACCTACAGATTGTGAACTAGTCACCCCTTAACCTTTCTTTGTTAAGCTAAATAGATTGCGCTCCTGTCACTACAGGACATGGTTTCCAATCTCTCAAACATTTTCATGGCTCTTCTCTGAACCCTCTCTAATTTATCAACATCGTTCTTGAATTGTGGACACCAGAACTGGACACAGTTTTCCAGTAGTGCTTGCACAGTGCCAAATACAGAGGTAATATGACCTCCCTACACCTACTTTATCTGTCACAAGTCCAGAGAAGATAAAATTGTCTTTGTTACAATAATTCACAAGAAAATTCTCTCCCACTTAAGGATGAAGTAGTTGTCAGTAAGAATTTCAAAATAAATTATTAATCTGGTTTTGTTGTGTTTTAGGCATTCGATTGCAAACTATTTAGTGGTGGTTACAAATTGTTAACATTAGATTGGTAACATTAGGTTTTTTGGCTGTCAATTTATGACTTTAAAATAGTTGCGTTTGAAGTAAAAAGCTATGATGACTTCTTGATCTGCCATTTCAAGCTAGTAAGATGTGTATTGTAAATTCTGCTATTTAGTTAATAGATTTTGAGATTCCATCTTAGTGACTAAAAATTACCCTCGGACAAATCCCAGACCGAAAGTCTCTACCTCTATGCTGTGTGCAGTCGGCCTCTTATCTGACATGTAAATTATTGCTCTTCTCTGAGACCTATTCTGTGCATTTTCCCTCTGTTGTTTAGGAGAGCTGTACTCTCTTTATGGAAGTGATTAGAGGAGAAAGAGCTTTCTAAAACTGCTTTCCTAAAACTCAAGTAAGCTTTCTTGGACACACTGAGGGCTTGTCTACCCTGGCAATTAACAGCGCTGCAACTTTCTTGCTCAGGAGTGTGAAAAAACACGCCCCCTAAGCACAGCAAGTTGCAGCACTGTAAAGCGCCAGTGTAAACAGTGCCCCAGCGCTGGGAGCTACGTCCCTCATTGAGGTGGGTTTTTTAGAGTGACCACACAAGGCATGTTAAAGTGCTGCCGCGGCAGCGCTTTAGCGCTGCCAGTGTAGACTTGCCCTGACATGACACATTGATGCTATTTTAGGGCCTGTGAGGTGCTGAGTACCAAGCACCCCATTTGAAATCAATGAATGTGAAAGGTACTCAACACCTCTCAGATTTAGGCCATTAGTTGTAAAGCACTGAATGTGCTAGGGGAAGATGGAGACAAAATGGATGAGGAAAGGGCACAGCTAGTTTGAATGATGGAGACAAGCAAGCCTGGTGTGAATGAAGCTGACGTTTCAAGAGTATTTAATAGCATCCCTAGAATGAATTTAGCAGTGGAATAGTGGGCTAACATTGTGATACTGGTACACTTCGAGTACTGAGGAGACAAGTCAATTGCACTTTTATCAGAGGATAATAGTAATGCCAACACAAGTTACCATGGGCTAGGTTCTCATACTTCCTTACTCCTTGAGTAATCCCGTTGAAATCAATGGGACTATTTGCACAGTGAGACACTACTCAGCATCTGATTTACCATTGCTTCTAATATTGTTCCTGCTTTTAATTTATACCCTGAAATCTATATAGCCAGATTCTGATACTCTTACTCATAGTAAGTACTAATGGGGCTACTCAAAAAACCAAATATCAGAAGCTGGCCCTACATAGCTAACTCTTCACCAATAAATTTTGCTCAATATCAAGAATATCTCTTTTGTGTCTCCTTAAAAGTGATAACCCTACACTCAGTTCAGTATATCTCTTGTACTATTGTTTCCTGATTATCACAGATTTATACCAAAATTCTTTATTTTGCCTGTCATTATTTTCTAACCTTTTATGAACAAAATAAAATGGAAATTCATTCAGTCTTACAAAGAAAGCACAAATGATTGCTGTTATTATTATTATTATTATTATACATATGGAAAGCCAGGGAATATGTAGACCAGATAGCCAAGGTTATTGAGACAAATCAGTAGAACTTATTTAAATACATCAAAAGTCAAATGCCCATATCTGAGTCCACCAGATCAACAAGAGCTAGAAGAATCATTCAAAGCAGCATTTGTTTCTAGTCTGTAAGAGAAATAGTTTTGTTTGTTTTTTATTGGGATGCATGAAGATGTTACTAAAGGAAAGACAATTCAGAATGATGAGCTTGACATTTAGTTATGAATATGTGAGAATCATGGTTAGTCTTATTATACACAGGAATGAACTCCATGGTCCAGACCCAGCTCCTGGGAACATACTGTCTCCTGCACGCATGAATCTGCCCCTACTGATAAACCATTTTGTTGTCTTAATGGAATGTTGCTGCCATGGCAGGTCTTGATGACTGAAGGAAGGAGGGTGTTTTTAGTAGTTAGGGCCAGTCTTGAAGAGAACGTTGATTATTGGGACAGAGATCTCATACTGGACTCTGTATTCAATAGGCAACCAGTGCAGAGAGCGTATCGTAACCTGTGTTATTAAATAGACGGGCTGCTGCATTTTATACCAGGTGGAACTTGTTCAGTGTGTGTGGCTTTATTCCTGAATGTAATTAGTTTGGGAAGAACTATATTTTTATCACTGAATGTCAGTAAATGTCACACACACAAACTGATGAAAAAATATTTTTATCCATAATAATTGAAATGTACAGATAGGCACAGTAAGAAAAATTGAGAATTTATTTGATTTAAGGATGTTTACTTTGTATATTTTTACATGTGATGTTAACCCCTTCCTCACCCCACAGTTTTATGCAACTGTGAAAATTTAAATAAATAAAAATGGAAAAAGCTTAAAAATAAACATGGATAGTATCCATCAAAATTATATAACATCAAATTCTGTTAAGCCTATGTATAACGAATTGTAATAATCAAAAGGTTATAAATGACTGGATTATTGTGCCCTAATTCTGAGAGTGACAGGATGGGATATAAACTTCTGGTCCTTATTCTTTCTTTGTGTGGGTTCCCCCCAACCCCCCGCCCCCCTCCCTCAATCTCTGTTTGGGTTTATGGTAGCACTGAGGAGACCTAAAGGACCCCAAGCACAGACAGACTTAACAATTTTGAAAGCAGATGCCCTTAATAATGGGAGGAGGAGGAGGTTATAGAGGAAACAAATTCCTCAGAATTATTTCCTCTTCTTAGTAGCATCACTTTAGTCTTGCCTGGATTCATTTTTAGCCATTTGCACTCCTTCCATATGCAGATTTTGGCTAAACACTGAGCATGCTGAGAGATGGTGCTGTTTACATTTGTCATAAAGGAGATATAGAGCGAGGTGTCATCTGTATACTGTTGACACCTCAACCTATTTGGCCTCACCATCTCATCCACTGGCTCCTTCCTGAATAAAATGGAGGGCAGGGGGAGAAGGGGAAAAGGACTGATCCTTATGGAACTCCACTGGTGCGGGCTCTAAAGATGGAGATACAGTTGTCCAGAATGCCCCTGAACACAGAAGTATGAGTTGAGCCATTTCAAGGAACCTCCATCCACCTCTGCGGCTAGTGGGACAGGAGAATTTGATCAGTGATAACAAATGCTGGAGAAGGGTCCTGCAGGATGAGAATGGAAGTACTTAACTTGTCTATGCACAAACCCCAGCATCCCTGTGACGGGTTGGGTCACAGACCCCCTTGGGACTGCCACCTGATGTGCTGAGACTACCTCTGAGCCCGTTTCCCCTGCCAGCTGGGGACCCCAGAACCCTGTCTTGTTGAGCCAGACATGCTACTCCGTTGCAACACAGACCCAGGGTCTGAACCACGCCCCCAAAGCTGCAGACTTAACTGAAAATGGCTTAAGGAAGTGCTCCTGTCTCTAGCACCCAGACACCCAGCTCCCAATGGGACCCAAACCCCAAATAAATCTGTTTTACTCTGTATAAAGCTTATACAGTGTAAACTCATAAATGGTCCACCCTCTATAATACTGATAGAGAGATATGCACAGCTGTAGCATATTTTTTATAAAATTATATGGAGTGCAATGTCACAATCCCCACATGAAAATTCTGTGCAGAAGCCCTATGCCTCTCTTGGCATCCCCCTATTTTATGACCGTGTAGATCCATTGGGGCCACACTGTCAGAGCTTCTGCCTCCAGGGATACCATGAAGGAACCCCTTAAAGAGGGGGCCTTGGGGAAAGATAATGTACTGAGGTCTAGATGAGACACTGTGTTGGATTAAAGCAAGGTCTTTGATGGCCTGAAAATTCAGTTGAAGCTCACAGTACGCCGGAGGCAAGACACTGGACTGGAAGGAAAACTTGTTAGATATTGGTGTTGCTCAGATGAAGAGTTAAGTATCTCTGAGCTTACTGAATGTACGGGTGCCTGCTGCATTCCGATTGGCTAGAAGTACCTGGGAAGAGGCAAAAAGTGCCAAACTAATGTTCTAATTTGTGTTTGATCAATTAGACTGGAGAAGGATCTGTGATGAGACCAAAGAGCTGTCTGATGACCCAGCAGAGACAGCTGTATGATATATTGAATTCCATTCTTTGGTGAATCTTTCTGTTTTTAATTTAAAATAAATAGATACAATTAATTAAGATAATCCAGGTGAGTTCTTGTGATTGATTTTCTCATTTGTCAATTCCTTTTTTCTATGAAAATAGCAAACACAGTATAATTAATTAATTAATTTAAAACACCTTCTCTCCCCTTCTTCCTCACTTCCTTCTAATGAATTTTAGGGCCTGCTCGCTGGAAAGAGGTTTTCCCTGTTGCTAATGGAGACCGTCAGTCCCCCATTGACATCCAAACTGAAGAAACCAAATATGACCCCGCTCTACCTCCTATTAGCCCTAACTATGATCCAACTTCTGCTAAAGTCATCCTCAACAATGGACACTCCACAAGTGTAGAATTTGATGACACAGAAAATAAATCAGGTTTGTTTCTGTTCATATTTAATTGTACTTTCTTTCTTTCCCTGTCTCATTAATGGAGTACAGTCTGGGTATGTTGCACTGGAGATTATATCATGTCATATGAACAGTAACACTGTAGTTTTCTGAGTCCAAAAGCGATACTTTTTCCTGCTTTTCAGTATGTTGCAATTTTGAGATGATTTCTTAAAGAAATTCTAAATTACAGTTCTCAGAAAATGCCTAGGATCACATTCTGTTAATTTTTTCCCACATGTTATGGTCTCATCCATACAATGTCCAACCCCCAGTTTGAATTGTTTTATAACACATTTTTCAAACACTGCTCCACAGCATGGATGGAGCTTTTGTGTCTTATTGCAGGTCCATTCAAGTGAATAAGGTCCACTCAAGTCTCTTATCTGCGTTTAAATGCAGGTATTGCATGATTTATGTCCTAGCTCTGAACTCATGTCAAGAGTTGATCAATAAAGAACGAAGAAATTATATGTCAAAGGATCCTTTTTCTTTCTAAGAAATGTCATTGTCCCATTCTTTTTTTTTTTTTTTTAAACATCCATTGACTCCCCTTTTGCAAACAACTATGGAGGCTCAGAGGTTGTCCTGTCCAAAAAACATTCTGTTATATTTACTGACTTCATATGGGTTTTCAGAATGCTTCCTTTGCATAGCAGAGAGGCAAGTTTGCATCTACAGAAAGCTCTTTTTCAAACAATAAAAGTGTAGCCCTTCAGAAGCGAGAGAAGCCTTTTGTGGTTGATCTGTTAATTTCAGATACTGCCTCACTACAGGTTGGTGAGAGAAGCCTTTGTTATAAAGGCAAGTGAGAAAATAAACCCAATTTAGTAAGGAACTGTTTTGATTTTTCTGTTTGCTGTTTGACATTTGCAGGATGTCAGGATGTATGAGTAAATATTCTCAAACCCTTCTTTGTAACTCAGTTTCATTAGCAGATGCGGTAAGATCAAAGGTTGTTTGTATGTATTACCAAGTTTAGGATAGTTAGGAAAGTGAGCATGGACCAAAATAAGATTTACAAAGAAAGCTGAGCAGGAGAATCCTTCCTTCCTATGTTACAGAGGAATGAGGAACTGCTTTAGGCAACAGTTTCATTTCCTTGCATTTATTATATCTTCCCAATTGTTGAAACTTGTAAACTTCCGGTAACATTGTTACACTTTACCCTATTGTGCAATATATTCACAAGGCAGTACATGCCACATTACTTATGCAGAAGCTGTAATCATATGAAGATTCCAGCACAGCAGACATTATTTTAGGGTTACCATATTTCAACAATCAAAAAAAGAGGACGGGAGGACCCCCACCCCCATCCTGCCCTAGCCCTGCCCCTGCCCCTTCCATTCCCTCCCACTTCCTGCCCCCCTCAGAACCCCCAACCCTCCCCCCCACTCCTTGTCCCCTGACTGCCCCCTCCTGAGACCTTCCCCCCCATCCTAACTGGCCCCCTAGAACCCTATCCCCTACCTGTCCCCTGACTGCCCCCTCCTGAGACCTTCCCCCCGATCCTAACTGGCCCCCTAGAACCCTATCCCCTACCTGTCCCCTGACTGCGCCCTCCTGAGACCCTCCCCCAAACCTAACTGGCCCCCTAGGACCCTACCCCCTACCTGTCCCCTGACTGCCCAAACCCTTATCCACACCCCCACCCCCAGACAGACACCAGGGACTCCCACACCCCATCCAACCACTCCCCACCCCCTGACAGCCCCCCCCAGAACTCCCGACCCATCTAAATCCCTCTGCTCCCTGTCTCTTGACTGCCCCCTCCAGAATCTCCCTGCCCCTTCTCCGACCCCCTGGCCCCCTTACCGCGCCGCTCAGAACAGAGTGCTGTGGAGCGGCGCGCTGGGCAGCAGGGGAGGGCGAGCAGGAGCAGGGGGAGGAGCTCCAGACTGCCGGAGGCCCGATGCGAACAGCCGGCAATCTGCGAATGCAGGGAGGGGGAGGGAGGGAGAGAGAGGAGGGGAGTGATCTCAAGTTGCAGGGGAGAGGAGGGGGAAGTGGAGGAGGGGCTCTGGCTGCCAGAGCCCCAAGTGAGTGGCACGATCCGGCTGGCTGCCCTGTCAGTGCGCGCGCTCTGCATGGGGGGGAAATCCAGACATTTACAAATTCCCCCCGGACGCTATTTTTAACTCAAAAAAAGCCGGACATGTCTGGCAGAATCCGGACGAATGGTAACCCTAATGATTTTGAATGAAAATGTTTGTAAACAGAAAATGGAACAGTGATATGCTATGAAAAAGGGTTACAGATAATTTTATTGGGAACTTTTTGATGAATTATTGAATATTTCCTTGAAAAAAGCATATTTTTCAGTTTGCTTATTTGTAGGGCTGTCGATTAATCACAGTTAACTCATGCAACTAACTAAAATAAATTAATCACAATTAATCCCAGCTTTAATCACACTGTTAAACAATAGAATACCAAGTAAAATTTATTAAATATTTTTGGAAGTTTTTCTACATTTTCAAATATATTGATTTCAATTACAACATAGAACACAAAGTGCACAGTGCTCACTTTATTTTTATTACAAATATTTGCACTGTAAAAATGATAAAAGAAATAGTATTTTTCAGTTCACCTCATACAAGTACTGTAGTGCATTCTCTTTATCATGAAAGTGCAACTTACAAATGTTAATTTTTTTTGTTACATAACTGCACTCAAAAACAAAACAATGTAAAACTTTAGAGTCTACAAGTCCGCTGAGTCCTACTTCTTGTTCAGCCAATCACTAAGACAAACAAATTTGTTTACATTTATGGAAGATAATGCTGCCCACTTCTTATTTAAAATGTCACCTGAAAGTAAGAACAGGCGTACTTTTGTAGAACTTTTGTAGCCGGCATTGCAAGGTATTTACGTGCCAGATATGCTAAAGATTTGTATTCCCCTTCATGCTTCGGCCACCATTCCAGAGGACATGCTTCCATGCTGATGATGCTCATTAAAAAAAAAAGTGTTAATTAAATTTGTGACTGAACTCCTTGGGGGAGAATTGTATGTCTCCTGCTGTTTTACCCGCATTCTGCCAAATATTTCATGTTATAGCAGTCTCAGATGATGACCCAGCACGTGTTGCTCGTTTAAGAACATTTTCACTGCAGATTTGACAAAACACAAAGAAGTTACTAATGTGAAATTTATAAAAATAGCTACAGCACTTGACCCAAGAATCTAAAGTGCCTTCCAAAATCTGAGCGGGACAAGGTGTAGAGCATGCTTTCAGAAGTCTTAAAAGAGCAACACTCTGATGCGGAAACTACAGAACCCGAACCACCAAAAAAGAAAATCAACCATCTGCTGGTGGCATCTGACTCAGATGATGAAAATGATCTGCTTTGGATCCTTATCAAGCAGAACCCATCATCAGCATGGACACGTCCTCTGGAATGGTGGTTGAAGCATGAAAGGATATATGAATCTTTAGCGCATCTGGCACGTAAATACCTTGTGATGCCGGCTACAACAGTGCCATGCAAATGCCTGTTCTGACTTTCAGGTGACATTGTAAACACGAACCGGGCAGCATTATCTCCCACAAGTGCTAACACACTTGTTTGTGTGAGCGGTTGGCTGAACAAGAAGTAGGACTGAGTGGACTTGCAGGCTCTACAGTTTTACATTGTTTTGTTTTTGAATCAATTATTTTTGTACATAATTCTACATTTTTAAGTTCAACTTTCATGATAAAGAGGTTGCACTACAGTACATGTAATGCGGGAATTTAAAAATACTATTTCTTTTATTATTTTCACATTGCAAATATTTGTAATAAAAAATAAATATAAAGAGAGCACTGTACACTTTGTATTCTATGTTGTAAATCAATATATTTGAAAATGTAGAAAACATCCAAAAATATTTAAATAAATGGTATTCTATTATTGTTTAATAGTGCAATTAAATGCACGATTAATCGCGATTAATTTTTTTAATCACTTGACAGCCCTACTTATTTGGTTTAAATACTGTGGTTTTTTAGCTTACAAGTGTGTGTTCAAACAATACTCAAGTGTGTATTCAGAGATATAAAAATCATCCAAACCACAGGACTTGGTGGTGATGGGGGACTTCAGTTACTCAGACATCTGTTGTGAAAATACCACAGCAGGACACAGATTATGCAACAAGTTCTTGGAATGTATTGGAGATAATTTTTTATTTCAGAAGGTGGAGAAAGCTACTATGGGAGAGGCTGTTCTAGATTTGATTTTGACAAATAGGGAGGAACTGGTTGAGAATTTGAAAGTGGAAGGCAGCTTGGGTGAAAGTGATCATGAAATGATAGAGTTCATGTTTCTAAGGAATGGTAGGAGGGAGAACAGCAAAATAAAGACAATGGATTTCCAGAAGGCAGACTTTAGCAAACTCAGGGAATTGATTGGTAAGATCCCACGAGAAGCAAGTCTCAGGGGAAAAACAATTGAAGACAATTGGCAGTTTTTCAAAGAGAAATTATGAAGGGCACAAGAGCAAACTATCCCACTGCATAGGAAAGATAGGAAGTATAGCAAGAGACCACCCTGGCTTAACCAGGAGATCTTCAATGATCTAAAAATAATAAAAAAAAAGTCCCACAAAAAGTGGAAACTAGGTCAAATTACAAAGGATGAATATAAACAAATAACAGGTATGTAGGGACAAAATTAGAAAGGCCAAGGCACAAAACGAGATCAAACTAGCTAGAGACATAAAGGATAACAAGAAAACAATCTACAAATGTATTAGAAGCAAGAGGAAGAGGAAGACCAAGGACAGGGTAGGCCTGTTACTCAATGAGGGGGGAAAGAACAAGTTAAAAATTACTTAGACAAGTTAGATGTCTTCAAGTCACCGGGGCCTGATGAAATATATCCTAGAATATTCAAGGAGCTGACTGAGGAGATATCTGAGCCATTAGCGATTATCTTTGAAAAGTCATGGAGGACTGGAGTAGGGCAAATATAGTGCCCGTCTATAAAATAGGAAATAAGGACAACCCAGGGGAATTACAGATCAGTCAGCTTAACTTCTGTAACCGGAAAGATAATGGAGCAAATAATTAAGCAATCAATTTGCAAACATCTAGAACATCATAAAGTGATAATTAACAGTCAGCATGGATTTGTCAAGAACAAATTGTGTCAAACCAACCCGATAGCTTTCTTTGATAGGATAACAAACCTTGTGGAGGAAGCAGTAGATGTGGTATATCTTGACTTTAGTATGGCTTTTGATACTGTCTCGCATGACCTCATAAACAAACTAGGGAAATACAACCTAGATGGAGCTACTATAAGGTGGGTGCACAACTGGTTGGAAAATTGTTCCCAAAGTGTAATTATTAGTGGTTCACAGTCATGCTGGAAGGGCATAACGAGTGGGGTACTGCAGGGATCAATTCTGGGTCCAGTTCTGTTCAATATCTTCATCAATGATTTAGATGATGGCATAGAGAGTACACTTATAATGTTTGTGGACGATACCAAGCTGGGAGGGGTTGCAAGTGCTTTGGAGGATAAGGATTATAATTCAAAACGATCTGGACAAACTGGAGAAATGGTCTGAAGTAAATAGGATGAAATTCAATAAGGACCAATGCAAAGTACTCCACTTAGGAAGGAACAATCAGTTGCACACATACAAAATGGGAAATGACTGCTTAAGAAGGAGTACTGTGGAAAGGGATCTGGGGATCATAGTGGACCAGAAGCTAAATATGCGTCAACAGTGTAATACTGTTGAAAAAAAGTGAACATCATTTTGGGATGTATTAACAGGAGTGTTGTAAACAAGACATGAGAAGTAATTTTTCAGCTCTACTCCTCGCTGATTAGGCCTCAACTGGAGTATTGTGTCCAGTTCTGGGTGTTACATTTCAGGAAAGATGTGGACAAATTGGAAAAAGTCCAGAGAAAGAGCAATAAAAATTATTAAAGGTCTAGAAAACATAATCTAAGAGGGAAGATTGAAAACATTGGGTTTGTTTAGGCTGGAAAAGAGAAGACCGAGAGGGGACATAACAGTTTTCAAGTACATAAAAGATTGTTACAAAGAGGAGGGAGAAAAGTTGTTCTTCTTAACCTCTGAGGATAGGCTAAGAAGCAATGCGCTTAAATTTCAGCAAAGGAGGTTTAGGTTGGACATTAGGAAAAAATTCCTAACTCTCAGGGTGGTTAACCACTGGAATAAATTGCCTAGGGAGGTTGTGGAATCTCCATCATTGGAGATTTTTAAGAGCAGGTTAGACAAACACCTGTCAGGGATGGTCTAGATAATACTTAGTCCTGCCATAAGTGCAGGGGACTGGACTAGATGACCTCTCAAGGTCCCTTCCAGTCCTATGATTCTATGATACCTCAGCATGTTCAGTGTTGGCTGTACTTCTGTAAGGAATACTTCTGCTGGAGTCTCTTGACCCAACTTATTTATATAAATAATATGTTTCATATTTAAAGTGCCAGTGTCATGACAAAAAATTAGAAATGGGCCCAACTCTAACTTCTGATCTGAACCTATATTCAGACTTCATGGGCTAGGTTTTCTCCCATGTTCTGGCCTCAAAGCTAATCCAACCAGCTGGGAATTCCCTCAGTGTGGGAATCCTAGAAGTGGAGCTGATATAGCCTATTAGAAAGGGGCATGGCTGAAGTGCCACTGTGCTTTGGTGATCCCCTCCACCTGGCATACCAGCCCCTTGGGTCCACAGCCACTTGGCATAGTTTAGATCAGCCCTGAGGCTATTTCAAGTTAGGTCAGGGACTGAACTGGCATAGAAACAGCCCTGGGTCTGGAAGCTGCAAATGTCTTCTTTGGGCCTTCTCCTTTGACTCCCCCACCCTCAACATATATGCAGCACAGCTGAGGATCAAGGCCCATATTCACAGATTCATAGATCTTAAGGCCAGATGATACAGTTGTGATCATCTAGTCAGACCTCCTGCATAACACAGGCGATAGAACTTCCCTGAATTAATTCCTGACTCAAGCATAATAGTTGTGTTTGAACAAGACCATATATTTAAAAAAAAAATCCAATCTTGATTTAAAAAATTCCAGCAAGGTAGAATCCAGCCCAACCCTTGGTAAATTGTTCCAATGGTTAATTATCCTCACTGTTTAAAAAAAAAAGTGCTTTATTTCTAGTCTGAATTTGTCTAATCTGTTTTTTCTAGTCTGAATAGCTTCAACTTCCAGCCATTGGATCTTTGTTTACCTTTGTCTGCTAGATTGAAGAGCCTTTTATTATCAAATTTCTGTTCCCCAATAGGTACTTGCAGACGGTGATCAAATCACCCCTTAACCTTCTCTTTGTTAAGCTAAATAATTGAGCTCCATGATTCTCTCACTATCAGACATGTTTTCCAATCCTTTAGTCATTCTTGTGGCTCTTCTCTGAACCCTCTCCAGTTTTTCAACATCCTTCTTGAAGGTGGCCACAAGAACTGGACGCAGCATCCAACAGTGGTCGCACCAGTGCCAAATGCAGAGGTAATATACCCTCATGACTCCTACTTGACATTCCCGTTTGTGCGTCCAAGGATTAGCCCTTTTAGCCATGTTGCACTGGGAGCTCAAGTTCAGCTGATTATTCATCACAATCTCCACAACTTTTTCCTGCGTCCCAGGATAGAGTCCCCCATTCCGTAAGAAGACTTACATTCCCTGTTTCTAGATGTATGACCTTACATTTCACTGTATTGAAATGCATATTGTTTGATTACAAACAGCTCACCAAGTAGTCCAGATTGCTCTGTATCAGTGACTTGTCCTCTTTGTTATTTACCCTTCCCCAATCTTTGCGTCATCTGCAAATTTATCAGTGATGATTTTATGTTTTCTTTCAGATCATTGATTGTTTTAAACTTTATGGCTCTTTTAAAGCAGTGTGTAATTGGCTGGGATTTTATTCTCCTTGAACATACCAGTAAATATAATCAAATCATGATCAATTGCATCTAAGTAACTTTTTGTTCTGTGATCAGTTCCTCTTTATATATCCAGATGAGTGTCTAATATAGAATTCCACCATGTTGGACGCAACACTTCTTGAGTTAAGAAATTGTCATCTATATTTTTTTCCTATTTAAGAAGCCAGTCATCCTGTTCTCCACTCTGATTTGGTGTGGGTGTTTTAGATTACACCAACTAGTATCCTATTGTGTACTTTATCTGTTAGAACATCGATCCATAAGCATTCAAGGTCATTTACTTCTGAGTTGTCAGTGACTCAGAAACAAGTAATGCCATTTTTGACAGTGCCACTCCCGCTCCTCCTTTGTCCACTCAATCCTTCCTAAATAGGTTATAGCCAGTGATTTTAACATTCCAGTAATGCAATTTTTCCCACCAGGTTTCAGTAATACCAACTAGGTTGAATGTATGCTCATAAATGTGCAATTTCAGATCCTTTTGTTTGTTACCCAGACTCCTAGCATTAGGGTATAGGCAAATACAGAAATTCTTCTCTTTTCATCCTTTGGTGGATTTTTGTTCTTGATATCTTCATTTTGTGCTAAATGAATGCTCATTTGTTCCTCCTTTTTACCCTCCACTTTTGTTGTTGGTGTACGCCCTACCAGCCTGTGCCTTAGATGACTGGATCCTCTTTTCTATATCTCTATAATGGGTCTAGCTAGAACCCCAGAGCACAACAGTCCTTTTTCAGGGAGTGTGTGGAGGGGTAGGGGAGAGTTGAAATCAAGATGAAGCTTTTTCTAAGGGGCGAGGGATTCAGCGTCAGGGCATTACAGAGAGAGACTGCAGATGAGATCGAATCTAAAGTTCTGATCTTGGATTTTGGTTTGGATCCATCTCTAGTTGTTTTTTCTTTTTTTTAAAGAGACAAATATTTACACAAATAACACACACAAATGCCTTTACATATGTTGTTAATGTGCCATTTATTTACATTTTACATGTCATTAATTTTGAACTTGGACAAAACAGATGCATTATTAGCTTCACTTTGTTTATAGTCATTTTCACTGCCTGGTTTTCATGCTTTGGTACAGTACGGTTTCATCTGGGTTTCAAACGGTGCCAAGGAATGTTGAAATAAATTTTAAACCAACTAACCTATTTTCCTCCAATTTTATTAAAGAATCTACCTTTTATGGCACTTAATCTTTAGGCCTAATTTGGTTGTCAGTGATAAGAATGTAGCTGCCAAGAAGGTAGCATAATAATAATTCAATTTCTCAGAAGAATTAAAAAAAAAAAAGGTACTGCTTCCTGCCTATAGTAAGACACATTGGGTTATCTCAGTTCATCCCCTAGCAGTAGTAATTAGCTAATTTACATATATAACTTAAATGTTGAAGGGCATATTCTCTTCTTTCTCTTGTTGTTGTGCAGTAGTGGTATCCTATTAATACATATGCTTCGAGAATCTATTTGAGAGCCTGGATCCTGAAATGGTGCTGTATGCATGAAAGTGTAGGTCAGAAGCTTTTATTATAATGCATGTCCCCTTGGCTAAAAATCTCTTATTATCTGGTTTATAGTGCTGAGAGGGGGACCACTCAGTGGAAGCTATAGGCTGCGCCAAATTCACTTTCATTGGGGGGCCAGCGATGACATTGGCTCTGAGCATGCAGTGGATGGAAAGAAGTATGCAGCCGAGGTAAGGCATTGCATTGAATTATATAGAGGCCATAGTCTCTCTGTAGTTAAGGCTGTGACTAGCGTTCCATTATGAGACAGATTTTGGCTCCCTAACTTTTCAAAACATAAGCAATATGCCTGAAATTTTTCATGTGTGATCCTATGCCAAAGGAGAATATATTTGGAGACTTTGGCAAAGGATAAGACAAGAAGTACATGAGATATTATAAGTGGAAAATGTAGAGGATTTTTATTGTTTGAGAATTGTTTTAATCTTTTTTGTTTTTATTTTTTAACTTTTCCTTTGGGATCGTTATATCTCAAAATAAGCCTGACATAGAAACTGCAGATTTGTTTTTTTAATCAGCCTTACTGAGGATATGTGCATTTTACTATTTGCAGAAGAGTTGGGTGGTTATTTTTGTGGTGTATGTAGCAATGTGACAGTTATGCCTTTGTTTTCTGTGTACTGCACCTTTAAATCTCTAAGGACTATGCTGCCTACAGAGACAGGCAGCCATTATGAGTGTTCCATTTAGTGCAGAATGTCACAGAGGAGAAACGCACAGTGTGCTCTCTTGTGGAGTCTTTACTTTTGCTCTTTCTTGTTCCTTGCTTTTGATTATTCAACAATAAAAGTAATTCAGACTGAAAGTATCGGTTTCCTCTTTGCGTATGGGAAAAATAAAACAAGTATTTTAGTTAGGAAAATGGGATCTCAAACAACAAATAGCTCAGAGAAAGTGAGAGTTTTCCTGGGTAGAAAAGGAAAATAGAAAAGGTAAAAATCAATTTTTATGGAAATATGGAAGATTTTCACTATAATGCAAAAGAGGAACAATTTGAAATATATGTACAAAGTCCTGATCAGTATTTTATTGGAAATGCTATAGAGGACAGTGGTAAGAAAAAAAATCAATTTTTCTACCACTGGTGGGGAAAGTGACATTTGCAGTGTTTAAAGGCTTATGTTTTCCACAGGAACCAGGTGAGATGGAGTATAAAGAATTAATAGAGGTGCTTAAAAACATTATGTACCAAAACCAAATTTCTAGCTGAAAAAAAAAAAAAAGTTCCATCTCAGAAACCAAATGGAAGGAGAAAATATCTCTGAATTTCTAGCCAGTCTAAAAAGCTTCCCACTACTTGTCATTTTGGTAACTTTCTGCAAGAAGCGCTTTAGACATCGTTTTGGTTTTGGGATAAGGAAACCAGAATTAAGATCGAGGCTGCTGAGCACTGGTCATGCAGAAGAAATACCCCAGGAGATGAGAATGCAGTTTCAGTGCTGAACTCCCTGAAGAAAATGCTCTAACAAATCAAGAAAGCACCTCTGCCAAATTGGCACATGCTAGAAGAAAGAGAGAGTTCACAAGCAAAGAAGACTACGTGGCTTGCCCCATGTCAGAGGACATCAGGAAACAAGAGGGCTCCCTGGTCCTGTTGTGTTGTGACATCGCATTGGCCAGACCAAGTTCTCTTCAACAAGCTGCAGTGCAGGAGCGGTGGTAAGATGGGATACATCCCTTAAAAGAGAAGTCACAAGCCATTGAGAATGGGGCTCTACCCCAAAATGTTTCACAGCTCTTGTTTTTTTGTTTTTGTTTTGTTTTGTTTTTTTGCAAAATTACAGGGAGTAGTGTGGTTTATTTAGCTGTAGGGATTTTACTTTTTGTCCTTTCTTGTTTGTTGTTTTTTAATTCACAATAAAAGTCATTCCGACTGAAAGTATCTGTTTCCTCTTTGTGTATGCAAAATATAACATTTTAAAAGTTATTCAATCTAGCTTTTTGTGAATCTAAAATTGTGAATGGTCCGATGGTGACATTGTAAACTCCAGAATACTAACATGCATACATGTGCACACAGAATGGTCTATTGGACTGAGAAGTGAGGTATGAATTCCTATATTCTATTTCTGGTCTTAATAATACTACTTTGGACTTCTGTGATAGCTTTCCTACAAGGATATCTAAGGGCTTGTCTATGCAGGGAAGCTATTGCTAAATAAGCTAGGGTATGAATTTAAAGATTAATAGTTATTCTGTACTAACTCCCCAACGGGACACTCTTACTCTGCAGTGAGAGCACCTGGGTGCAATTTAGCTTCACTTCCAAAATGTATTAAGCTACGGCACACTCAGACCTTCGTGTGGAATAAGATTGTCCACACAGGAGCTATTCTGCGCTAGCTATTCTGGGCTATTTCCTCATGTAGACTAGTCATAAGGTCACAATCCAGCGACACACTTAAGCATGTGTTTAACTGTAAGCATGAGGGTATTTCCATTGACTTGAATGGGACTTTTCACGTGCTTAAAGGTAAACATATGCTTATGTACTTTGCTGGTTTGGGCCTAAGAGCTTAACAAACATTAATTATGCCTCACAACACCAAGTATTATTATACCCATTTTACAGATAGGGAAACCTTAAGGCCATAGAGATTAAGCAGTTTACCAAAGCCAAGTCCATGTCTGAGGCAGGATCTAGAACCAAGATCTCTGAGACCTCTGTTTTATCCACAAGACCACACAGCCTCCCATGCAGTTCATTCAGGCAAGCCATTAAGACCCATGTTTTCTAAGGAGGCCTTTACTTTTGGTGGCCCCAGTTTTTGTGTGTCCGCCTGGAGCTCAACAAGCATGGCTCCAAGTGAAGTCACTGGGAGCAACAGATTCTCAGCACCTCTGAAAATCAGGTTCTGAAAACCTAAAGATGGACCCAAAATTAAAAGCCTCTTTTGAAAAATTTGATCTTCAGCTACTCTGGGTGAGTTAGTAAATCTTATGAGATTAATTAGATAATGTTTGTACAGTACTTTGAAAATAATAAGTGCTATATAAGAATTACTTTCTCTACACTCAACAGCATGGTAATGCAGAGAACAGCAGTACTCTGAACAAGGGAGAAGAGACATCTGACTCTGTGACTTAGCTCCTTCCGTAGAGACTTGAGGACTCCTGACAGGGGAATACGAACATGATTTTAGGGAGCATGGCTTGGTGGGAGGCGTTGGAGGGCACTGGGGCAAAGATCACTTTGTTGTTTACCTGGCCAAATCATGGCAATCCTAGGACTGGCCAGAGTGGATCTTCCAAACTTTGGACCAGTCTGCGTGGAGCTTCCAAGCAATTACACATCAAACAAGCGAGGAGTTGCTCATTACAAATCTACCACAAAACATTCCCAGGCAGAAATCAATTGGAAATGCAGGTGCTCAGCACCTCTGAAGATCAGGCCACTTTTATTTAGATGCCTAAATACAAAAGCTGGTAATTTTTTCCCCAAACTTCAAGTTTTCTTTGAAAAATTTTCATAAAAAAATTTAAATTTGAGAAAAAAGAGGGGAGGAGGGAAATTTTTTTTGTGAAAATTTCATTTCCCTTCCCCCTCCTCATTTCATGATCAGCTGTAAAGCTGATCAATGTTTTGCTGAAATTTTGACTGAGGAAATGGGGCAGGGGAGGGGAAAATGCTGATGAAATTTGCATAATTTTATTCCACCACTTATTTTTACCAGCTCTACTAAATGTGGATTTAAGAGCCTAATTTTTAGCCCTCAATGTTTGAAAATTTTGGCCTATGAAATTGCAGTGCTTTCCAATATTTAGAACAGTGAGTATCCACAGTATTTCAGATGGTGGTAACTGTTGCTAAATTTTGACTTTTAATAATAACTGCTGTACCTAGAATGTAAAAACATTGTTAATTGTGCCATTCTCATATCTGTTCAAATCCCAGCCACATCAGTGCTTGTTGTTGCCCTTTGTATGATTATATATTTCCAGATTTCAATAAACATAAATATTTGCAGCTGGAAAATTGAATGCGTCTGAATATAAACAGGTGAAGTAGAAACCTCAACACTAGTACAATTGCATGTTAATTGTAATTGCACCAGTTCAGTGGGAATTGACACTATTTGTGCTTTTGCCTTTCAGCTTCATGTGGTTCACTGGAACTCGGACAAATATTCCACTTTTGTTGAGGCTGCTCGGCAGCGGGATGGATTAGCTGTCATGGCAGTATTTCTAAAGGTAAGCAACGATTGCTTTATCCCTTTTAATAAATCTGTGTTATAAGCTTAAACAACAAAACTGTTATTCTGTAGCAAATATCCCTTTACCCATAATTCTGCAGCAGCAAAAATATGAAGGCAAAACCCACATGCCTAATTTTTAATGTGTTTGTAATAGTAGATTGCTGCACCACCTGGAAGACACCAAAATTCATAGCGTTTAAGACCAGAAGGGACCATTAGATCATCTAGTCTGACCTCCTGTATATCGCAGGCCATTAAATTCACCCAGGCACTTCTGTATGACCCAATAACATGTGTTTTTTCTAAAGCATATCTTCCAGAAAGCACTAGTCTTGATTTGAAGATATCAAGAGATGGAGAATTCACCACTTCCCTTAGCTGTTTGTTCCAATGGTGAATTGCTTCTTTTCTGTCTAAAGAGGAAAACACACAGTAGAGGATTTCCTTAAAATCTCTGAACAAGATTGTGCCTTATACACTTGATAACCTGCTCATTCTAGGATAAAAGAAATCACCCTTTCCCACAGCCTCACTGACTTTGTGCAAGGAGCCACATAGAGGACACAAAAAACTTAACCTGTGATTAGAGGACAGGGTGCCGGGCAGCTCGGTAGCCCCTACTTCAGTGTCAAGTTAATATGGTGATGGCCACTGCCACTTTTGGAAATGTTATTGCTCTGGTTTGGAGCAGTGCTTATGACCCTTGCTGTTGACAGGATTTTGTGGCCTTTGCATCCACATAATTGCAGGACCCCTGGCTACACAACAGGCACACACCCTGTCTTTGCCAAGCAAATGCAAACCAAGCTTTGCTTGATATCAGGGATCTGGAGGGCTGCTGCACAGCTGCCTTCTCCCCACTTTCCTCCCACACTGTGTAACTACAATGGTTCTGCTTCCTCTGGAGCCTTTGGTCCCTGTGCTGACTGGTGAATTTCACTTCTGTGGCTATATTACAGCTGTCATGCTGCGGAGATCAGTGTCATGAGGGATCCTTGACATGTTTTGTGCTGCTTGTTCATGTTGAACCTATCCCACTCTTGCCAACTAATTACAAAGTACTCTTTTCATGAGCCACTCCTTTATATGTGTTGTCACCTTCCCAGTGTACACCTTCCTGACCCAATGAACATTGTTGAGAAACCTGATTCTGCACGAGTCACACAGAAGTGTCATGTTCGTGAATTTTCCAGTGTGCTTTAAGGAACTTAAGCTTAAAAAGGCTGTAGACTAATTTATTCACATCATGTATACAGCCTGCTGTTCTTACAGTTCCTCTATAAAACATTGTTAAGAAAACTAGCTTTTATTCTACTGCTACAAAAAGTGAACTAAAAATAAAATCAACTCCCCAGACTGATGCAGCTAATGAAAAAATAGTCTCATCAAAGTGAATGACATCCCTCTTTCTGAATAATCAGCATTTGTTCCAGGTTCTTTTAATTAATAATGGCCTGATACTGCATCCATTGATGTTTATCAGAGTTTTACCATTAACTTCACTGGGTGAAGGATCAGGCCCTATGTGAAAAACTTTAAAATTAAACATTAATAAGTGGAAAGTGAATGCATATTCTTCCCTCGAGAGTATGATCTTTGACTATTTGCCTTTACAGATTGGTGAATGTAACTCTCAGCTGAAGAAAATTACTGACCGTTTGGATGCCATTAGAGCCAAGGTAAAGTAATTCTCCTAAAATTCTCCAGTACTTCTGCTGCTGATCTTTTTCTTCCATGCTTCACATTCACATTCCTTAGGTATTTACAGCTGGTAAACAAGGATTAGCTCTGATTTGGGGCAGTTTAGGGGCACTTTTGCTGGATAAAGTCAGACGCAAACCAGCACATTGTAATTATTTTGTTGTACAATGCGGGGGGAGGGGGGAAGATAATTAATTAGCTGTAATAATTTAATCCCTGACAAATAACATTATCATCAAGATCACTGACATTGGATAATTGCACATTTTATTTTAGTGGAGTTTTCCCCCCCCCCCAAGAATATGGGGAATCAAGACATATTTTCTCACTTGTTTTATGGGGGGAGAAGAGGGTCGTGTCCCCTTCGATCAGAACATGGAGTGGCCTTGCATGCATTAATTGGCCCTCCATATGTGAGGGGGGCAGTTATCTCTGTGACACCAAACCCTGCAGAGGCCTCTCTCTCGGTCCAAAAATCCACATGGGGTGGGAGGGCATGGATCAGTGGGCCAGGGAGGCGTGAGTGGGCTGGTGTCAGGCTGGAGAAGACACAGATTGCCATCCCACCAGCTCTCCAGACATTCCAAGCAAAGGAGAATACATCCAGATGTTGTATTATTTTTACGTCAGAGCCCCCATCACTGGGCTATTCGTAGTCAACAGGAGTGCCTGGTAGCATGGCTTCAGTGGAACCCTGCTGTCACCAGAAGGAACACTAGGGGTAGATCTGCTATAGAGGTACAGGACCTCCACATGGGTGGCTCTGGCCCATTCCCCTCCCTAGGTTTCAGAGCCTAAGCTGTAACATCTATACAGCTATTTTTAGCACGGTAGTGCAAGCCCAAGTCTGTGGACCCAGGTTGGGAGGCTCACTGCCATGAGCTGTGTAGATGTACCTCTGTGATCCTCCAGAGCCATGCAAACCTTGCCCCCACCAATGGAACAATCTCTTATAGTTTTTTCTCTCCATAATTCTCCTTTGGTATGATTAGTGGGGGAGATCCTGCTTGACACTTTTAAATAAACAAAATGTTCTGACACTATAAAGAAATTAACTAGACTGCATAATAAGTGGTTGCTAAATGTGGTGGTTCTGGGTTAGAATGTGCATGCTTCTTTTTCCAGGGTAAACAAGCACTGTTCACAAACTTTGACCCTTCCTGTTTGCTTCCTCACTCTCTGGACTACTGGACTTATCTTGGCTCTCTTACTGTTCCACCTCTTCTTGAAAGTGTCATCTGGATAATTCTCAGAGAGCCTATAAGTGTTTCCTCTGAGCAGGTACACTTTGATCCCTCCAACCCTTCAAATATAATGTTTTTAAAACTGAATTATGGTTTATAATGATACTCCCAAGACTATTTTATTTATAGCTTTAGATATTTAATTAATTATGAAATTTCTTATCCTACCAAATTTTGTGCTTTACATTTTTGTCTTGAGTTTCTAGAGAAATGTGAAATTAACATGAATTTTTGTTGACTTCCGTTGGCCATCAGAATGATCAAGTATTATTAAAATGTTTTGAAATTTAAAAAAAATGGTTTGGGAGCTACAAACTGGGAAAAATGCAAGAAAGAAACTGATAGTTAATTTCATTTGAGGGTTCTGGTGATGATAAGAAGCACTTGAATTTCATTCCATAGATTTTTACCATCTCCAAAATGCTGCTATTCATTTATTTCTTTGCATTTAACTCATTCATTATAGAATTCCAGTTCAGCAAATGGCCAAATAAATACAGAGCGTTTCCTAGATACTAAGAGTATGAAATTTGGTCAATCTGAATACTGTAGTTACTACTAATAACTAGTTCCTAACAAGCAGGCTAAATGAATGTAGGAGAGGTATGAGCACACCACTTGGAACTGCCCTTTATATTTCTCATGTTACTTACAGCTGTAAAATTGACCTTCTGGCTGTATATTTGTAGACCAACAGTGACATCCAATGGTTACTGAGGTTAATACTCTTAGGCAGTGGAGATGCTAAAGGGAATATGTTTTTCCAGTTTCTACTATTAGAAATTGGTAACCAGTGCTGCTGTTGGTGGGTATCATTACTCCAGTTGGCATATTAAAAACTTGTGACTTATCACACCTCGATACTTACCTCGTCCATGTTATAGATAACTCACTCAGTAAAATTAATTGTTCTGGGCCAAATAATGCCACTCTTCCAACCTTGCTAATGAATAGCCTCGCTGAGCCATCCTGTAGTTCAGACTAATCCCTTAGCAAGACTATAATTAAGGGAAGTATGATTGTCCCACTGAGCAATGCTACTCAGTGTGATTAAGATGGGTAGAATTTGGCGTGGCCCACTAGTTGCTAAGTTTTAAATGGTGTGGTTTGATTGGTATCTCTTTGCTGGTGGATTCTAAAGGTGAAATCCTGGCCCCCCTGAAATCAGAAGCAAAGCTTCCATTGACTTCAGTGGGCCAGGATCTCAACCTAGAAGCATTGTCTCTCAAGAGAGTTCAAGTACTCAAAAGAAGAGCTGGGAAGTTTAAAGGTCACATGAAGGGTAGACTTCTTTTTATGTGTAGTGTTTTCTTTGATTAGCATTTTACTAAGAATGAAAGAACCAGTTCAGAAGAAATAAGAACTGGCCTGAATCTTTGATCAAAATGCAAACCAGGTGTTTCAGTGGATAGGACACCTGTGAAGGAATCAAGAGACGTTGAGCTCTGGGAACAGCTGGCCTTGAACAAGTCACTTACCCACTCAGTGCTCACCTTCCCCATCTGTAAAATAGGCATAATGCTTACTGGGCTTGGTAAAGCTCTTTAAGATGAAAAGGTGCTATATAAGTTTTCAGTATGATGATTATTACTGCTGTCCAAAGTTCAGATCCAGACCTGAACTTCCCAAATCCAAAGTTTTGATTTGGCATAATCTCTAGTTAAAATACTTTAAAAGTGAAATGTTGCATGGAACAGGGAATGTGTATACCATTTTTAGGGAACGAAATATCAGTATCTGATGCAACACACTTACTCTGTATTATTTCAAATTCAATCTGTCCTGTTCAGTGTGTGATATTTTATATGTTCTATAATTAAATACAAAAAAATTGTTTGTTATTACATATTATTTGTTTCCAGTAGTGCCCACAACGTGCCATGTGCTGTACAAACATAAAGGAAGTCACAGTTCATGCTTTGACTGGTACTACTTTGCAATTTGATTGTTAACTCTTCATTTTTATATTTTTTTCTTAGAAGCTTAAAATACAATTTCTTCCTTTATTGATTTTATTCTTTTCCACTCGGGAAATGTTTTAAAAATAAAGAAACAAAGGTCAGTTTCAAGCTTCCAGTGAGTTACCAGAAACATCATTATGGAAAAAATGCCTTAATTTTTTGAATACTGTAGTAACTTCAAAGGGAGAGTTGTTTTGTTTTTTACTTTTTTTGTTAATTAATTGCTTTATGAAAATTAATTTATTCGCAGATACGTTTTTCTTAATTGAGCGGGCCGTGTTATTAGCATAGTGGTGCAGGTTCTTAACTTTGGGTTTTGTCAGTGAAGTGTCCTGCCAATTAAACCGCGATTAAAGTAGTTTCTGTTTTTATTCTGTGGACTGAAACACTGACATATGTGGTAAGGCTGAGTTTTTGGAAATCTGGATGTATTATGCAAATTATACTGTTTTGCATAAGTAGTACATAAGCATCACCACCCCGTTTACATACTTTTCCCTCCCTTGCCACCATCATTTCCATCTACTCCGGTTCAAGTTTTTCCCTAGCTTTCCATCCCCACCCCCACCTCCTGAGCTAGCTTCCCTCTTGAGTTCCTCCACCATCTCTTCCTTCCCCCTCCCAAGTTCCCCGTCTGCCCCTAGCCCCACTTTGAGTATCCCCGATGTAACCCTCTGGTTCTTCCCTGTACCAGGAGCTTCCCCCGCCCCCCAGAGTATGGTCTGTGCCTAGTGTGTGGCCTAAAGGTGTGGGTAGAGTGACCCTCACTCTATGTATCCTCTCCCAGTGCTCTGTTCTAGCCATATTTCTAGGATCACAGACAAGCAGCCTAATTCTAGGAAGCTCTGTGGTGAGGGCGCACCTGCAGCTGGATCTTTATGCTTAGAATCCAGACGGTAACTATAGAGAAGCAGCCTAGTGTGCCTCTCTCTCTTTCCTACTTGGGAGCGGGGAGCTCAGGAGCCTAAGTGGGGACACTAAGGCCTGGTCCACACTAAAAAGTTAGGTGGACATAGCTATGGCATTCATGGGTTTGGAAATAAAACCTTAGCTATGCCCTCCTACCCCCCAGTGTAGACATATCTGTGTTGACAGAAGAATAGTTCCATCAACCTTGCTCCCATCATTCGAGGAGGTGGGGTTCCTACAGCAATGGAAAAATCTCTTCCTTTGGTGTAGGCTGCGTCTACGCTAAGGGATTATGCCTACATAGCTTTGAAAACATGGCTATGCTGGTAGTCTCTGAAGTGTAGAAATACCCTAAGAATGGGACTCTCCTGGCCAGTCCTGAAGCCTTATGGGCTCTGACTGTGGGCTTGATTCTCTACTCTCTTAGGGCTAAATTGTACTTCTGAGGCACAACCCAAAGCAAAAGGCAGTGACTTACTGAAATCAATGGGAGTACTAGGAGTAAGGTTCTACTCAGTGTGAGGAAGTGACAGAATCTGGTCATCAGCGATTTTCTACCCTCTGCTGCTTCTCCCAGATAACTATCTTAATAACCACTTTATTTTGGAAGCTCGTTTTCTGAAGGAAGTTTGTTTTCCCAACCGGACAGTGACCCTGCCATAACATACTATATATCCACTATCAGAATCATGACTTTTGTGCTGCCCTACTAATGTTAACTAAATAAAGGAAATCAGTCTGAAGCAAGCAAGTGTATAAAACTAATAACTATTCACAATAGGTCAGATTAGGAAGGTTCAGATCTGGAATCAAATCCAGATCTAAATGCCCTCACAGCTCATAATTATTTGCGCTGGGTGTTCCAGTTTGCCTTATTGTTGAGATAAATCCAAATTGTGACGTTTGGATAGAGATTTAAACATTTCCTAATTGTAAGTGTGTGTGTGAGAGAGAAAGTTTGGATCAGATACTTTGGTTTGGGCTCATCTCTAGTAATTATTATTTGCTTTGTATTGTGTGCCAGGTAGATGATGTAAAAAATGGTAACTAGAGAAGTGTTTTGTAGCACAGCATCCATCATTCTTCACTGATGGTGATATTTCTGCACCATGAGGGCATACAATCAGATTTTGTTTGCCTGCTCATGTTGGCTCCCAGGCAATCCGTATGCAAAAAAAAAAAAACCTTAGTGGGAATGATGCTGGCCTTCGGACTGCAAAATAGGGTGCAGAAATCTTAAAAGAGAATTCTTTTTAGGCTTCAGGTTAGGAAAGATCAAGTGTGAATACCATGCTATACCCAGACAATGCCTGAAACAACACTCACAAAATGTAAATGAAAAACAATAGCTAACAGGAATAAGGGCTGAAATGCCCAAATGTCCATTCCATGTGTGCTCTAGACAATACGATCCCCACACTTCTTGGCGAAATAAAGGTGACAAGTATGTTCATGTTTATTACTTAGAATTCTTCATTTAGCCTTAGCATGACAATTCTCTGCTGAACTCTATACCTCTTTTCATCTGCAGCTAGCCAAATTCCGCAGCCTTCTGTGTACTGCTGAGGGAGAGGGAGCCTGCTGCATGCTGAGAAACTACCGGCCACCGCAGCCTTTAAAGGGACGGGAAGTCAGAAGGAATTAAGGAGTAAAGCAAGAATCAGCCACTGCTGAGACCACTTAGGAGGCTGAATTAGTTTTTAATAATAATATATTTTGTGCCTAATGAATAGGTATTATTTTATTATTCAGTTACAATGCAGTCATTTCAGCAAGACAAAGATGTCCTGACTTGTAGCATTTGGGCCGATTTTAACTGGTTTGAATGGGTTTTGTCTCTGTTGGTACGTGTGCATTGTGGTGTTAGTGTTTGCAGCAGAGCTTACTGAACAACTTAGTTTCAGTCTGTGCATGTGAATGCAATCCTACATATTGAGTCTCATCCTACAAAGTGCTGAGCAACTCCTGCAAGGTACTGGACACCCTCAACTCCCTTTCATGTCAGTTGCAGTTGAGGATACATAGCCCCCTGAAGGGCTAAGCCCAGTTTTTTAACACCATAAATCTTTCTTTAGGGACTAGACTGGCCTCTTCCTTTAATTTTCAAGGAGAAATTAATATTTAAAGCTGGTAGGATTTCATTACTGATCATAAGCAAAGTGATCCTGTTTAAGCTGGGACGCCATGATAGATTTACTAAAAAATATAGTATCCACTAATGACATTTAACCCACAAAGTATACAAATGTATTTACAGGCATTAACTTCCTCCGGGCCCCAGGGGTGCGCAACCCCCTGCTCTGCCCCGGCCCTACTCCCACACGACCCTTTCCCCCAAATCCCTGCTCTGCCTCTTCCCACCCACACCCCAGGCACTGCCCCCATCTCACCCCTTCCCCCAAACCCTGTTCCGCCTCTTCCCGCCCCCCCTGCATCCCCGTCCCACCTCTTCCCGCTCAGTTCTGCCCCCTCCCTCAAGTGTGCTCCATCCCCGCTCCTCCCCTCTCCCCCAGGGCCTCCTGCATGCTGCAAAACAGCTGATTGTGGCAGGTGGGAGGAACTGGGAAGAAGGGGGAGAAGTTGATCAGTGGGGCACCAGCAGACGGGAGGTGCTGAGGGGACGAAGGGAGCTGGCTGCCGGTGGGTGCAGTGCACCCACTAATTTTTTTCCATGGATGTTCCAGCCCTGGAATACTCACGGAGTCAGTGCCTATGAATGTATTACAATCCCTTTGTTTTGTCTGCATCATAGGAATGCTGGTATATTGCACCATGGTTTAGCAATACAATGCTAGTAAGCAATATGCGATCATATCATACGGATTCTGTATGCCCAAATTCCACCTCATGTAAGCCAGACAGTTCCTCGCACCTACAGGGGCGTTCAATGGGGAAGGATGCATGAAGCCTCCCTCCCTTGCATCTCTCACCCAGCAGGTGAGCATGGTCTGGAACATGGGTCTGTAGAATGTATTTGACATGATCCCATATTGCTTAAAGTGCATTCCTAACACTCAAACGTGCACTAGCCACTTCAGAAGATGGCTCTGCCTCCTCTTGCCCCATCCTGCTTCCTACCAGCCAGCTCTCCTGGCCAGAGACGCAGAGCATGCTGTACACCCTTGCCAGAAAAGAGAACACCCCACGCTGAAGATATTGTGCTTCTCTGATGTGTAATGCTTCCATGTACATGCTGGAGCATTGCCCCATGCTCAGGGCTCTCTGTCAGACACAGCTGAGGCCGATAAAGTTACATTTAATTCACATGATAAACCCCCCCTACGTTTATCAGAGGGGTAGCCGTGTTAGTTTGTATCCACAAAAACAACGAGGAGTCCGGTGGCACCTTAAAGACTAACAGATTTATTTGGGCATAAGCTTTTGTTGGCAAAAACCCCACTTCTTCAGATGCAAGTGGGGTTTTTACCCATGAAAGCTTATGCCCAAATAAATCTGTTAGTCTTTAAGGTGCCACCGGACTCCTCTTCGTTTCCCCTACATTTAGATAAAGTTAAGGATCTGACACATTCACAATTCCCAGTTAACAGGACACATTAGGGTGATGTCCCATGGTGCCCATGGGTTGGAAGCTTAGGCTTTACCTGTGAATCACCTTGAGCTTGTGTTTCTCTCAGATGCTTTTCATTATTGGAATGTAATTTTTATTAAGGCAATTTTCTTCTTTTGTTTTTAGTGAACTAGCTGTAGCTCTCAAAATAGGAAAATTATGGCCTAAACTGTTCCTTCTGCTTCTGTAAGCAAAGGGAACTGAAATCTCAGTAGCTCTTTCCTCTCAATCCTTTTCCTTCAGCACTTCTCCACTGGTCTTCTGGGGAGTTGGTGCCATGCCTTGTTTTGAGAACAAAGCTGGATGTTGATGGGAGTGGAGCAAAGGACCAGCCACTCTCTACAGCAATGTCCCTGTTGAGCCTGTGGATTTCTGCTCAAAAATCCAATCAGGATTTAATGCACATGAAGTGGTGGTAACTCCCCCTGACTCTCTCCAGGGCTGTAACCGTGAAGCCAAGGGAGAATCAGCCAGTGGCCACACAACTCCTGCAGGATTGGGAGGAAGTGTCAGAGCAGCCACATGGAGGGAAAGCCACCCTTCCATGCGACTATTTCTTTCTCCAAGATGCCTAGGACTGTAGGTTTTGTAGGCTGCACCTGTTGCCTCCTCCACTGGTACTGTGACCCATCCTCCAGGAGGGGAAAATTGAGGGGATACCATACAAGCATGGCCAACCTTGCAGAGATTCCTGAGTCCCTCGTATTCCTCTATAAATAAATAGGTTCTTTAGCTTAGTTTAGATAGATAGATTAGGTAAGTAAGTCTTATTGTTCTCTCCTCCACTCCAGTAGAGTGCCTCCTCTAAAGGGGAGCTTAAGTTGCTTCTGTTACTGCAGGTCCTCTCACTGCAATACAGTATTCTGAGCAGTGAGAAAAAGAAAACTGGCTATGGGAGAAGCAATAGAGCCAATGCAGCAGCAGGAGCTGTGGACAAGAATGGCCAAATGTAAAACCTGCAGGCACTTTTTTTCAGTCCCCACTAACCAGGATAGGCAGGAGGACCCAGGTAGATATAAAAAGACTTGAGTGTGGTCTCATTCAAATGACAAGTATATGTGTAGAGTATAATTGCTGGCGTGTGTGTTTTTTCACTTTCTTTTTTGATCTGATGTTGCATCTGGTATGTTTCCCTGTCGTGTGAGTAGCTGCGGAACATCATGAATGAAGTTTACACATTGTGTAAAGGGCGTGAAGAACTGATTTGCCTGAGGACAGGAATAATGAGGCTACTGCTGTGTGTGTGTTCATATTAGAAATAAAATAAGTTTTAGCTATTTTTCCTGCATTGAAAATAAATAGTGGAGGGGATACAGTGGTTTGATATTTGTAAGGATTTTATCAAATAAAAACAGATGTTGTCAATGTTTCTTGTACTTCCCACTGAATAAACTGGAGTTTGTCGACAGCCTACAGATTTGCCTAGATGCCTACAGCCAAGCTTGTGGTTTAGTTTCAGCATTTGCTTTTCAACTCTAGTTTGTGATCAATCCGAAGACGAAGTAGTTGAAAATAAGTCTGGAGTAGATATTGTTAACTGGATCTAAGTGAAGTGTCTTGGGCAATATTAGGTGATCCAATAGTTGGCACTCTTTATTTTAGTACAATGCATCTAAAATATTGTGGTGCCCTATTAATTGCTGAGACATACTGCAACTGAGCAGGCAATGCTAAAATATGGACCTCCTCTGCCTCTTAGCAGTGGCTTTGTTAGCTATATTGATGGTGTTGGCCTCCTTCTGTGTTTGGGATTTGATACCGAGAAGTATGAAATGTGCAGTCACCCAAAAGCTGAAGAGCATTTGCTGAGAACTGGAGCTGTTAGGAACGACACGTGGCTGGGTGGCTGGTTGACACAAGACTTCTATATTCAGAATTAAACAGACCCTTGGCTCAGGACCTGAGTGAGGCAGGGGAGCTTTATGATTCTCAGGGCTGTCAAAGGCCATTTCGCCGGCACAATTTAGAGCAGCCTCAAGACTGTTGTTACTTGTGCCTGGCTGCCCCAACCTCCAAGGAGCTGTTTCAGCAGCTGGAGATACTGGATCAAGAATGCAGTCCAGCCACCTTCCTTTTCCACCAGTCCTTCCCCTAACATGCCTCCGTGTTGGGGCCTGTGAGAGTGTTGGTGTGGAGTTAGCTGTGCCAGTGCTTCAGCAGTTGGGGATTTCATTACACTGAGGGAATCCCCAGAAGCTGATTAAACGGGCTTTAAAGCCCCTTTAACCTCTCTTTACCACACTGGTGGTGCATAGTGGGGGCCAGAATCTAGCTCACGTTTTTTATTTAACAGAACGGTAAAAAAGCACTTGGAGCTCAACTGTGCCACTACTGCACCCTTTTGTGGGTTGCGTCCTGTTACCCATCTTGGATCCAGTCAGCTCTGCTGCCTGCTGATGTGGGGGCGGGGGAGTTCCACTGCCTCCCAGCCCCTGTGGGGCACTGTGCTCCTGCAGGGGAGGTAGGTCGGGGAGCAGTTCCTGTGCTCTGGGGAGCGTAGGGTCTGCAGTTTGGTTTGGTACCTATGTGGACTGCACAAAGTGGTGAAGACCCCTAGAACCTTCCCTTCCTCAGGCTCTGCAGCTGCAACAGTGCGAGGCAGAATCTGGCCTTTAAATCTCATGTTTTTGTAGGGCTGTTGCTTTTCTGTGGATGTGCAGAGGTGAGGGAGAGGGTAGAGTCACAATGTCTCTCTCCCTTTGTATGGACCATGCAGAATTCAAGTCCCTGAGCTCATGGTAATACAGGTTCTGCTTCCTTCTATTCTCGTGGGTGCATGGTGCCCAATTGAGGGTGGGAAGGAGGCATGGCCATGGTTCCACCCCCAATGCAGCAGCCAGTAGAGCTGCCCAGCTGTGCAGGAACAGCTGTGGGGGAAAGAAAGCTGCACCCTATTAGATGGCAGCCCAGGAGCATGCCCACTCCAGCAGAATGTTTCTCAGTGCTCCTCCAGGGGTAATGCATCTTCCCACAGCCCTTTAAGAGGCTCTGTCTAAATGACCCAATCAAGCAGATCACTTTCTCTGGGTCAGATCCTGCAGCCTTTACCCACAGAGAAAGCAGGCATTAACCAATGGAACAATGTATGAAGAGCAAGGTGGATTCTCCATCATTGGCAAGTTTTAAACCAAGAGTAGATGTTTTTCTAATAGATCTGCTCTATGAATTATTTTGGAGAAGTTCTGTGGCCTGTGTTGTAGAGGAGGACAGGCTAGATGATCAAAATTGTCCCTTCTGGCCTTGGAATCTATGAATCTACGAAAAGTGCAGGATGAAGTTCTAAAATAGAACCGTAGTTTGGTAAAGGGGCAGAGGGATGAGCAGAGGCTGCTCTAGCTATAGGCAGACTAGGCAGTTGCCCAGAGTGGCAGTGGCAAGGGATAATGTTGGCAGTACTGCCTGGGGGAGAGATCAGTCACCAGCCAGTGTTCCAAGGAGCAGGAAGCAGCCCTCACCTGGGCTGCTGGGGAAACGCTACTACTCCCCACCCCTAGCAAAGGTAAGTTCACTGCCATGACCATGACTCATCGCTGAGCAACTCAGAGCTACTCCTAGTGGCACTGCGAGTGCTGCAGGGTTCTTAGCCACAAATGCAGCAACCCACCCAGCTCCACGTCGGCCCTGGCTGCCACTTCAACTCCACTATGTCCAGGATCTGAAGGTGCTACCACTGCAAATGCTGCAAGTCTGACAGTGAAGAGTGCATCCAGAAAGGTGCAGGGGTTACAGAGGGCCAGGTGGGGGGTGCAGGCTGGAGGTGTGGAATGTGGGGATGTGGGCTG